CCTGTGAGGGCAGCTTGTGCTACTTCACTGCACAACTGACAGGTTTGTGCAGGGAGTCCTGAGGGAGATGCTGGAGAACACACACACACACACACACACACACACACACACACACACACCTGGAGGCATGGGTCTGCATGGTACCCAGGTCACACTTCCCTCTCTTGGCCAAAGTTGTGCGTTATATAAGCCAGTAAGTGCTCCACTCCATCTACCTCCAGAGCAAACACACTCACAGAAACACGCAGCTGAAGCTGCACGCATGTGCAGGGAGCAGATCCATGCATGTTCTGTCCCGCTAGCGGGACTTCAGTGCACATTAGTGCATTTTAAAGACCAGAGGATGCATTCTGCAAACATTTCATGTGTTCAGGTTGAAGCAGACCAGCTGCTGTCTGCAGCATTCACACAAACATATCAGCATTTAAGATAAAGAATCAATATTTAATCTGCTGTTTAGTCACTATAGTGACACATTTATCACCAATATTTCTTAACCTCAGAGTTTTGATGTTTACTGAAGCAATGTTTACAGGAAGTTTTACAGGAAGGAGATTCAAACGTTTCCAAAGACCAGAAACCAAAGAAACTAATAAAATCTAATTTCTTACAGGTTTCTTGTTGAAGGGTCAGTGTAATGTATTAATGTGGCAAAGTCACCAATATTTTCAGAATTGCATATATTATAATGCAGCGGCAGGAGGCTATTTAAAGAGAAGCTCCCTTTCATTCAGGCTCAATGAGAGAGCGAGACTCAGTGGATAACAGGAAGGCTGAACTGTTTTGTCTGTTTGAACTTTCTGCCTCTGTCTGCATTTTTAAATATTGACAACTTCTGAAATACTTGGAAAAGTTCATGTTATTCCAGAATTTATCAGGAATAAATCATTTTGATAAACCTAAGTGGCATTAAACAGAAACAACTTCAGCTCTGACTAAAGACTGTCTGAAAAGACAAACCAGCCGTCTGACCTTTTGGCTTCAACACCTCCAGTCCTTCTCATGCTGCAAAGATCCCTTTAAATGTTAAGGCCTGAGAATGTTTCACCTGTCCATCATGACCCTCAGCAGTCGCTGACTCAGAGTCTAAAGCTGTGAAGCCGGTTCTGCAGAAACCCGGCTGATGGGAACGACGACGAGCAGAGTTTAATCACACGAGGTTCACCGGTCCGCCTGCTGCATTAAGGCTCTGAAGAAAAGCAGCGCTGACGCTCAGCCCTGCATCAGGCATGCATTGGGCTGCAGAACAGGAGCTGCTACATCTCAGGACATCACATTTCTCTGTTGAACTTTAAACTCTGCTCACATAAACAATCATTTCTGAATTTCTGTCTTTGTGTTTGTGAGGCGATGGAGCAGAAATCAGTTCAAATCTGTCGACTTTCAGACTGTTCCAGTCAGAAGAGCGGCACATGTGGCGAACACGTGAGGAGCAGCGTTCACCTGTCAGAGATCTGACTCCGCTGCTCGCCTGCTGCCGGACTGGAAGAGGATGACGCTCATCGGGTCTGACATGGTGGAGCAGAAACGGCATCTCCGCATCGCCCTGACCTCCACGGAGCGGGACAGCGCCCACTTTCACGTTGGCTCGGCCCGGAGCTGCAGCAGCTCAGCTTTCAGCTTCTGTTTGTGCTTTTCAGCATTCTAGTGTCGCAGCAGGGGAGTGAAGAGCAAACGTACAGTTTATTTACAGCAGGAAGAGCTGCTTTACTGCTGGACCCCTTTACTCTGATTTAAACTGTCTTCAGAATATTTACGATGTCGGAGCAAACCGTTCCACTGAGACGCACAGAGGAACTGCAGAGCAGAAGCTGCACAGGCCTGAGGAACCAGACCTGGAACATTTAACTTTCAGAAGGTTTGATCCATAAAACTCTCCATGTTCTGCTTTACTGTGGAACAGTAAAACGATACAACCTGCCACGTTCTGCTCACAAACTGGAGAACTTTCAGTGGGGATGATGTGAATCCTGGATAAAATCGGCAGCTTTGAGGTTCATCTGAAGGAACGGATGTGTCCCTCTGTCTAAACCAGCTTCGTTTGTCACAAACGGCGCCGGTCATTCTGANTCAGCTCTGTTCAGTCCCATTTATGCCAACTCCAAACCGTTTGCCTTGAAAGTCCAGTCCGTTTGTGAAGGTTTGAATTGACCTCTGACCCTCAGTCTGTTGCTCTCAGTGTCTTCAGGTTTTCGTGTTGTGTTCAGGTTGCTCAAAGGGTTTGGTTGGTTTGAGAGAAACAGAGCCACAGCAGCTGGAGGTGGACCAGATGTTGGAGTTTTTGTATAAAATCAAACCTCCAGACCATCAGGGAATCGCATCAGAATCAGACGTTTTCTGACTGGCACTGATTTCCTCTAAATGAATTCATTATATTTCATTTAAATGTGTGAAAACTTTGTTAACACAGAGATCCTGTTTGCTTTGAGGAACTTTGCTGAATTTGTGAGCTCTTTGTGAATTAGATGAGCAAGCTACTCTGGTTGGAGGTTGAAAAAATCACATTAAATTTCTCATAATAAAATAATGAGACTGCATGTGAAACGCGGCCCCAGGAAAACACAGAACATCCCTGTTAGTATGTTCAGACTTCAGGACCAGAAATGAAAGCATCTTCATACTCTGTATCTATAATTACATCTTCACAAAAACTCTAACACTTTTTTCCCTGTTCCTATTTCTTCATACTGACATCATGTGTTTTTGGGACCAAGAATCTGAACTGCATTTTAAAGCTGAAACTGAGGCTGCAGAGAATCAGCGCTCGCCGTGACGTTAGCTTCATGTTTATGTAAAATATGATCCATGCATGGCTAACTAGCTGCAGGCTGTGCAGCTGTGAGTGCTTCAAACCTCGTCAGGTCTTCTTAAGCTTTCTGAAAGCACGTCAGTCCTGCAACATAGCAGCAGTTCTCACTTCGTTCTGAAGCCGATCGAATCGATGACGGAGGAGGAATTCAGGGAAATATTGGAGGAAGTTTAAATCTGACTGAGGATGAGCTGCAGATGCAGAAGCAGCCTGCTTCTCCTCATTTGATGCTCCATTTAGCAGAAACACAAAACAAACCAATCTCCAGTTCACCGCTGCTCACACACACGCACACACACACACACACACGCACTCGTTATGGAGCTGTGTAAAAAAAGCGAGCCCGAAATAGACGACGTGATTTTCCCGGACTAACGTAGCAGCTGTGATACGATCTGCGGCGCTGCGTTACTGACTCACATTCAGCGGCAGCAGCACATTCTGGAAGCACAGAAACGCTGCAACGCTGAAGATTACTTCAAGTCATTTTAATCAACACAAATCCTTACTGCACTACAAGATAAAAACCCAAAGAGATCAAAGCTGCTTACACGACACAACGCCGCACAGTAATCATGGCGACTGGAGGGCGGAGCGTTTGTTTCAACGTTTCTGAGCCACATCTGTCCAGCACAACACAAACTCACTTCAGCCTCAGCCCACTTTTCAGGTCTGGTTCAACTTTTTACAGCAGGGGGGCGTCTGCACTGATGAGCTCATCGAGACAAAGATGTCAGAACATCTTCAACCGTTTGCATTAAAACAGAGGAAGATAAAACCTGCAAACATGGTTTTAGTTTCTGTTGAAATATAAGAGTGTTGCAGGAAGTCAGATTTACTCCATCATGGAGCATGACATCAATCAATCAATCAATCAATCAATCAATCAATCAATCAATCAATCAATCAATCAATCAATCAGCTGTTCAGTATTCAATAATTCTTTTTGCAGAGCAGATCTAAAATATTAGAAAGGAAGCTGAAATGCGTTAGCATAACGCTACTTGACATGCTTGACCATTTGCAAAGCAGCCAATCCCAGAGCATCATTCATTTTCCATGTTGCTGATTGGCCTTCATAAAGGTCATAAGGTCAGAAGATCAGCAGAGACTGGCAGAGCATGGTGACAACTTAGCATCTTTGTTGCTACATTTAGCAACTTTTCCAACCACTCTAGCAATTTCTTTTCCCCAGAAAAGTGACTAATTACAAATCCAACAACATTTCTCAGTTTTATTGAGGATTTTCACAGCAACAACATCTGACAGTGATTTAGGAAAAAAAAAATCAGAATCGTAATTTCATCAGACATTAACGCTTCGCATGAATAATAAACCAGAAGCAAAAATTGAAAACTAGCATGGACCTCAGAGAAATGGCGTCAGACCTGCTCAGAGGTTTGGACTTTCTGAGCGCCGTGCCTCTGGTAAGGCGCCAGCGGACGGAGCCTTTGCTACATCAGGATTTATTCTGCAAATATGTTTCCATCTACACTTTAGCCTTTTTCAGAAAAGCCCAATACAACCTCAAGTGAGAGTAAAAAAATGTTTTTGTGAAATTGAGGAAGTTATTTTGAATTTCTATCAAACCTTTTCATTAGTTCAAAATGCGAATTTAAAAAAAATCTTTGATGGAAACACAGCTAGTGATCTGTCAACCTATGACCACATGGGATCATCATCATGATTAAAGAGTGACTTGTTTTTCATTTTATTTATTTAACTAGAAATACACATAAATGTATCCATGTTTAATACCAGTTTACCCACCACAGAGGAACAGTCTTTGAAAGTTTTCAGCTTCATTAATGTGCTGGTTGTGGAGAAATCTCTGAGTAGATGCAGCTTCTCCTAAATAAACTGATGTTTACATTGATAATGCTAACTTTGCTAACTGTGGCCTCCAACAGCCAGCTGCAAACAACACTACAAAAAAAACACAGACCCAAACTTGGACCACAATGTAAAAAACTTTGCTAAACCTCTGAACAATCCCACATTTCTACAGGCAGGAGAACCTGCCAGCAGATTATTCTCCTCTGTCTAAAGAGACCAGTTTAACAGACCGGAAGCAAAAGGCTCAGGAGCTTCTAAAGTTCGTCTTCAGGAAGCTTACGACACCGCGAGGATTCAAACCCATCCGTTTTCCTGCAGAAGACGTAACCAGGAAGCCGGTTGTGGAAGCTCCTACCTCGATGAGGAAGTCGCCCGTCCGGAGCCCCGCCTGCCAGGCCACACCGCCCTCATCCACCGACTCCAGGTACTGCAGCGCCGGGAAGGCCGGCGTGGGCGTGAACTCCTCGATGGGCGTGTCGGCTGCAGCACAAAGGGACAGAGGTCAAGGTCAGAGGTCAGCCAGTCAGATTCACTTGTTTCTACAGCAACCAGGTAATTGAACTTAGTTTAAATGTGTTTCAATAAGATTAGAGATTTTCATTCCCATAAATTGAGGTTTTATTTAAAATCCAGCAGATTAGAGATTAAACTTCAGACAGATTAGATCTAATTTCTGCTGCTGTAAATATTCTGCTAATAAATCTGATTTAAAGGTTTTAGGTCTTCCAGCCTTCCAGGATCAGCCTGTTTGCAGGAGGTCAGGATTCCTCCAAGTTAGAGAAAATTTAATGACAATTTTTTTCAGCATTATTTTAATTCAGGACCTGCATGAATAACAGTTTCAACTTTCTATTTTTTGGCTCTGCTGGTTCTGGTAAAAACTGTTGCCAAACAGCAGAGGTGCCATCCTGCAGCTTTTAGATGCATCTGGAGCAGGACGAACCTAAAGGACGCAGGAAGGTCGTTCAGTGTGTGTCGATAAATCTGGAAACCAACACCGATTTATTTGGTTTATTTCATCCCATTAATGGAGATATTCAGTCAGATTAAACATATCAGAAGCTGCTTTTCTCCTCTGTATTTGGTAGAGAAAGTGGAAGCAGATCCTTCCTGTTGCTTCCGTCTCCTAACAGGACTGAGAGGAATGTTCAGGAAAAGTCATCTAAAGACGATTCGATTGGTCCAAAGTTCTGCTGAACTGTTTTTCATTCAGTATTTCTTTTGCATGTTACATGAACTATTCATATTTATTACTGAGTTAATGAAGTAAAACAATAAAATGCTAAAAAAAACCAAAACCTGATAATCAGCCGTCTATGTTTGAATAAAACCAGAGAATTTACAAACTGAAGAACTGTTAAGCACCAGGTGAAACTGTTGGTCTGATTTCTGTACAACGTGGCGCTCAAGCCGACCAGCTGTGGCTTCGTAAACGACTCAATCTGAACATCTGGACGCCCAACGTCCAACGTCTCTGGACATCTGTCTCAGCTTCATCAAACTCCAAACCAGAACTCAGCTAAACTCTCAATCCTGCCGCTTCGAGAAGAGGAAAGAAGTCACTTTAAGAGGCCAGTAGTCCTGATGTGAGTACAGTAACACCATCCATCCTGCTGGATGGAACCGGCCCGACCCAGCCCTCCCTCTCCCCCCTTCGCTCGCCCGCTCTCGGGGAGGTTACAGAATCCTGCGGCTGGGAGAAACCAGTGGTGACAAGTGACACTTCCTATAACTCACCGTCTTACTGGGAGACACACACCGCGAGCGCATCCCAAGATCTCATGGGAGCTTCTTAACACAGTTGTGATGTTTCTGCGTGTGTGTGTGTGTGTGTGTGGATGTGTGTGTTGGAGAGAGAGGGAGAGTGAGAGAAACAGATAGAGAGAGAGGAGAGTAGTAATGCAGAGCGAGGAAGAGGATGTGAGCCTATGTGACAGCTCCAGCATCAGGGCATGTTTATGTGTTCGGCCGCGGCCCAGTAAGTGGGGCCGGCTCCGCTGCTCCAGGGTGGGAGTCAGTGTGTGTCACACAGTCTGGAACATTCCTCTGGTTTTACTGAGCAAATCTCTCTTTGTCTGCTAAAACACAGAAACATCAACAACAACAAAAAAAACACAGCCTCTCGACAGAATCAAAGAGGCGGCGGCGACCAATCGAACGGCGCCGCACGGTAGTGGAACGCAACGTGGATTATGACACGGCGAGAATCGTCGTAGAAACCGACGCAGCAGCAGCAGCAGCAGCAGCAGCAGCAGCAGCAGCAGCAGCTCCAACCAGCTATTTTTAGAGCCCCTCTCACAGCCTGCTGGAGCCTCAACCCGCCTGGATGTGCCTCTCGTATCACAACAAGCACTGAGGAGGTGGGAGGGGGCTGAGAGGACGGGGACGGAGGACAGGGACGTGTCAAACGTGTCCGGAGGAGCTGCATGCCAGCAGTCCTCCTCTGTGCTGATGTCATGGAGTTTTGCTTCAGCGCCACATGGATGGTGGTTCTCGTTTAGGAACTCACCCATCTGAAAATCTGGGCCGATATCGATATCCGATATATTATCTATATCTCCCAACTGACCAGACGATGACATTGCTTCCTTACTTTAGTCAAAAACCCACCAATCACATGGTCACATGACCAAACAAATACCACACGACCACATCCCCTTTCAACATAAAAATGTCAATTTTTACAGATTTTTACTGAAAAATCTGTATTTTTACCGACATAAAAATATGTTGTCAATACGGCCCAGTTTTAATTAGCAGACTGACACAGGTACAAATTCCTAACATCAACCGGTGCTGATGCCGATAACATGCTGTACTCCTAGTTTGGTTGCTCTGGTGGCAGATTTACGCCACATAATGCTGCATGGCTTCACAAAACAGTGAAACTGAAAAGTAGTTAGCTAATATCTGCACAGTGATTCACTACTTCAGCATGTTGATCAAGACCAGCCGCATGCATAAAAGACAGAGAAAGTCAGTTTAATGAGTAAATATCCGGTTGACCAGCAGTTTGAAAGCATAGCAGCTGAAACGTGACAGCCAAGCATGCGATGATGATGATGATGATGCTGCATCACATGCATCTCCTTCTTGTGCTCCAATTGTTCCAAGATTGATTTTACCGGAAGATGATGCACTAAAGATGAACTGGGTTAATACGAGCATTGGTTTGTGATCTTGGGTCAGAACAATCCGCTAACAATCAATCGATCACTCTATCAATTATTTTGACATTTAATCAGATTAAAAGTGGAATATTCTGCATATTTATCATTCACTCACTCAAGTCTTTGTATACAATATTAAAAATAAATTTAAAACATACAAATAAATTATTTTTAAGATAAGGAAATAAAAATAACATTCCTTTAGTGAATGTTTTATCATTTGTAACATCTGCAGGTAAAAGAATACATGAACTGTGGATTAACATAATCTACTCAAGCACCAAAAATGTGTTTAAGGGAGATTTTATTTACAGAACTTGAAGCTAAAACTGAAACTTGAGGAGCTCTGTGTAGAACAGACTTAAAGACGAATGAGATTTTTGTTTTCAATGCAAAATGCTTATATTTTTGTACAGCTTTATCTTCAGTACTGCTTTGATTGTGTTGATCTTTCAGTAAATGGCCTTTCTGGAGTGTGTGTGCTCCGGTTAATGATGAACCGATTACGATTATTTCAATAATCGATTCATCACGGCTTCCAGCCGTAAAATTGCCCGAGATTAGCTTTTAAAAGCTAATCGTTAACCTTGGAAGTTCCAACTCTTTCAGATGAAATTGTTTAAAGTGCAGCCCTGACGCACAGCCACATACAGATGAATTCTGCGGGTCACTTTCACGGTGCTGTAAAGTTATTTACGGACACAAACTGAGGCTTATGACGTGTTTTATTTAATGCGTTCTGCCGTAAAACAGACCGACATGCAGATACGTGCAGGTCAGGTGTAAATGTTGCTGCTGATGTCAGAGTCCGGAGGAGTTTAACGTTACGCTCTAATGTCACGCAGCTCTGGAGGGTCAGAAACATCCAGCCGTCTCTGACACACATGTCAACACATCCAGCTGATGTGCAGCGCCGCATTCAAGCTGTTTCTATTCTAATGCATAAACAGCCCGACATGCACAGAATTAGGGTCATAATCTGGATTTCAACGCACACAGCAGCTGTGCCAACAAGTTATTTGTTGGTATAAATAGAATTCGGCATTTAACTAAATCTGTCTCAAACAAACATGCACAGAAATGAATCCTTGACAAAAGCAGCCATAAATGAGCGAGTCTCCTACCTTTGGCCCCGCGCAGGACGAAGCCGAAGCCCTCATTCTCCTTCTTCTGGAGCACCACCGTCTTCTCATCCACCACGCAGTCACTGTGGAGCAGATGCCGAGCAGAGCGCCCGTTAGCACAGCCCATCATCCGCAGCATAGCCACGGACGCCCTGCCCGAGTGGAGGTTCATGCTGCTGGAGGAGAGCTAGTCCGGCCGGGGCAGGGCAGGGCAGGGCAGGGCGCCCCCACCCCACACCACCACCGCCTCCTCCTCCTCTGGCTCTAGCAGCCCGAGCGGCCGCGGCCCCGGCAGCCCTGCGACAGCATCTCCGGGAAAAAAGACGAGCCACAAGATAAAAATAAAAAATAAAATAAAGTGAAGAAGAAACGACGGCGATGGCTGCAGCCGCTGCGTCTGGAGCGGAATCTGCCGCGCGGTTACCGCTGCCGCTCCTGCCGCTGCTGCGGAGGAGCCGAGCGGCGGTGCGGCAGTGCGGCGCCTTCGAGGAGACGCGACATGAGTCTGGAGGTTGAAGGCGGCTCAGCGGCTCATGGTGAGGCGGGGAGGAAGGCTGCGGCTCGACGGGAAGGCGGGCAGGGAGGGAGGGAGGGCGGCGGAGGAGAAGCGGCGTGGAGCGGCGTCTCTCGGTTGGAGAGCTCCGCAATGAGAAACCACAGCAACAGACTCGGCGGAGAGATAAGCGGAGTGGGAGTGGGTGGGTGACAGCACAGTCATTTACCGACTTCTTAAAAAGTGTCTCTGTCTGCCTGTCTGAGCAGATGACTGAGAATAAAGCTGCGGATCAGTTTGTTTACATTACAGCCTTTAACTAGGACACAAAATCTGAAAATCCTACAGGAAACAATAAAGAGGGTTGAAAATAGTTTAAATTTTTTTTATTACTATTATAATTTCGAATCCTCAACAGTTAAAACCATTTCTATCACATCTGGAGTTCCCCAGGGATCTGACCATCTATGACCCACGTCCTTCCCATCGGAAGTTAATAAGCAAAATTACTAACAAAATTAGAAAATCATTAAAAAGTTCATTTATTTTAGCAAATCAATTGTAAAACTGCTAACACTGACTTGTGATTATTATGACTTACAGCAAAATGAAACAGAGGAAGTTATGATATTACATCACATGAACAAAATGGACTTTTAATGCAGAAATGTCAGATCACAGGTTCTGTCTTGACATTAATTCAGAGATCACAAACATGTTCTGTAAGGACAGTAAGCCTTAAACAAGCTGGCTGTTCACAAAGTACTTTATACAGGCACATTAACAGAAAGTTGAGTGGAAGGAGGAAATTGTTGCGAAAGTTGCAGCGTTGAGAGGAACGTGAAGCAATTCCTATTCACCTTAAGCAACGTCGGCCTCCATGACACGCTGCATTACTGCAGTCAGTCATGCAGAAGGAGTGAATACAAATATGGATATATTTCTGCATTTTAATCTGATATTTTCACCTTATTTACTTAAGAAGCACATTTGAATTTTGTTGCTCTGAATGTAATCAATCTTTATACTTTGACTTTTTCCAAATAAATTACTGAGGTAAATACATTTTTTAATGACATTTTCATTTTTTGAGATGCATCTGTAAAATGCTGATAATTAGCTTCACTTCCAACAGAGTATAAACTGTAATTCAGGAGTTTTTGGGATGTTTGCATCCTCAAAAGCTTCAGTTTAAATCTTTGCTTGCTAACAAATCCTTTAAGTCCTTTTATCATCAGCGACAGAGCAGATAAAACCGTAATCATCGGTTTGTGTGGCACACCAGAAGACACAAACATGCCTGTGTGTTCATGCGCTGTGTGTGAGCAGCAGCTGTGGCGCTGGAGCCTCCGCTGTTGCAGCTGCAGCTGTGTTTATGAGGAATCCTCCATGAGGTGATGAAGCAGCAGCTTCTCCAGAGCAGCTCAGGGAGCCCGTTAGGTCTGACTCAGCTCTACGCTGCCGCGCCTCACATCCTTTCTCTGAATTCTCTCACTTCATTTCCTTCTAACCTCCCTCCTGCTAACAAGCCGTTTCTGGAACACACATGCAGGAAAAAATGCTGCATTTGGGCTCTGAGACGTCCGAACCAAAGGTCAAGTTTGCTTTTATGACTTGGGGCGACTGCTGCAAGGGCGGCTCATTCATCTTATATCAGGATTACAGTGAACAGACACGTGGGATAAGAGGGAGAAAAGACAGACAGAGGAACGAAGGAGGAGAAAGAGCGGCGACCGCCATCCTAGCAACTGTTCCCTTAGCAACGCAATCTGTGTAGAGAGGAAGGAGGCCAGCGATGCTGATACACCGAAGGTTACCTCACAGCATTCCCTCACACACACATTCACACACTCTGTGTTAATCTGAAATCTGGCCTCTGTATCAGGCCAGCAGCCTGAAAGCTGATCCAACGTGTCATGTTGTTCAGCAGCGAGCGGGGAGGGCCAGCAGGCTGCAAATAGAGCTGAGCGTGCAGCATGCATGGGAGGAAATGTGAAGCCTCTCATTGTGAGCTCCACTGTGGGAGTCTGCAGGGTATTTATAGCGGCTCTCTGAGCTGCATGGTCAGATTTTCATCCCTCCACATCAGGAATCTGGAGATCCGGAGGTGAGTTATCCGGCTCCCTCCTTACATCACCAGCACGGGAGAAAAAGCCTGAAAATCAGCCTTTCATTGTGACCCGTTAATGGCGTTCTGCAGAGTACTCTCAGTGGCGGTTTCCTTCCCGCCGGCTGCATCCATTTGTGCCTGGTGACTGAGCAACGCCGCCACCATCATCAGCGTTTTATCCTGGACCGCTCAGGGAGCTAATGCAGCGCGGATGGAGGTTCACATCTGGAGTCCAGCCAGCAGCGCAGCAACATTCTGCAAACTGGGAGAGTTCCTGCATCAATAAGCATCAAACGCTCGGAGAGAGAGAGTTCATGGGAAAACTCGTTTCTCCTGCAACACTGAAAATGAAATTAGTCCCGTTTTCCTACTTCCAACAAAGTTTTAGACAACCTGCACTTCCCTTTGGGAATATCCTGACTTTCAAGTTTTTATGCCTGCTGCAAAGAGCTTGAACTGCTGATGATGGCTTTTGCTGAGCTGCTCTTTTTATGAACTTGTTCAAAGATTTTTAATTATCTTTAGGTCAGGAGGCTGGAAAGGAATCTTGGCAAACAAACGTCTGAATGTAAACTAAGAGGTTCAGTTAGAGATCGTCACGTTTTACAAAGAATGAAACAATTAAAAATAAATTAATAAACTGGTTTTACACAGCCACGTGTACAGTATTATTTTATAAAACGATGTGCGGGGATATTGGTTTTTATAAAGACTCGGCTACATGTGGACAAGGCCAAAGAAAAATGAAACACGTTGAAACATTTGGTTAAGTTTGGATGTCTGTGTTTGAGTGCCTGGTTTCCTCTACCAAGGAACACATGATGGCAGCTTCTGTCGCCTGCTAAACATCACAGTAAGCATGTAAACATGGACGCGTCCTGATGAAGACGTCTCCTCTCCCTCTCTGTCTTCTAACCTGCAGAGTTTCAGCACAAAGCGCCCAGTTCTCGTCTTCAAGTGCATTAGTCAGGATTACGGGGCTGCTGTCAGTGATCGATCGGGTCTACTTGCAGGTCTGGTTTCATCTGTGTGCGACCTGCTGCCTGCCCACACACACACACACACACACACACACACACACTGAAGAAGATAAATTCCTCCTTCCTTCCCCACTGGCAGCTAAAAAACACACACATACATCTTTAAAGAGGAAAGAAAGGCTTGACAGGAGGACCACAGTGTTCCATAAAAAGAAGGAAAAAACCTGAGCAACGTCTGAGAAAGAAAATAACAACCATTAGGGATGTTTGCTCCTTCAAGGAAAAACCCCTGAAACCTTTGGACCTGGAATGTTGCAGGACCTGGAGTCTGCGTCACGTTCTGCCTTTGGCTGAGCAGCTTCAGTTATGGCAGACACGCTTCACCTTGACCCACATGGAAGAGTCGGAGCTCCGGACTCGGAGTCCTGCCAACGCACATCCAGCAGAGTAACAAGGAAACGCCCTGTTACCGCATCATCTAAATCATTTCTCTGGGTCTAATGGCCCTTTAAAGGCCTCTAGAGCCAAGCTATATAAATAAATCAAAATGATGAAATCACTCCATAAAGGTTAAAAAACATCTGCACTGACACCTGTTTGCAGTGACTAAAACTGGAATTTAAAGAGTTTTTTTTTCCTGAGAAGTTTTTGGAGTTTCCATTGAATTGGTCTTGGTCCAGAAACGGTTCTGGATTCTGCTTTCAGATCACCTCTAGAAGAAAATAAGTGCAAGTTTTCACACCTGTAATTCCTTTATTTTAGTCCAAATCAGTTTATGAGTTTGTTAACTTGTAACTTTTTCCAGTGGTTCAGTTTCTTTTCAGCTAGCTAAAACATTAAGCTAACTATTAAGCACCAATCAGAAACATTTGTTTTGCTAACGCTACACCAACATGTTACTTAGTGATGGCTAATGCTAAGCGCTAAGTGACCAGTCTGCTTTATGACCAGAGCCCTGCTGTGGTCAGTTAGAAAAATCAGCAACTATGAAACGGAAACCATGAGCGAAAGGTCAGGTCTGAAGAATCACTTCCTGAAGCATGACTGTACATGTCGAAGTGTAATTACAAATTTGAGCCGTTTGAGGGCGACATACTATGTTACAACACATGTTGAAATCAACTTTACGAGTTAGAATAAGCTGAACACCAGGTTGGTGGAACTAGTTGGAAATTTAGCATTAGCCGCATCCTAAAAGAGTTTTCTGAAGAGAACCACTCACTCTGAGCGAACCAGAACCGGTTAGAACCGGTCCTGGTTCTAATGGAGGACTCTTTCTGTTTAAACAACACGGCACCACATCATCCCACTGTCGCCATGTTTCTCAGGAGGGATTGCTGAAATTACGATCAGTTCAATTTGACTGTATTTGTAATAACATAGGCTTCATCAGACTTTACTAGATCTGAATCAGTGGATCCATTTGTCTGTATAAAGTTAGAAAATCATGTCTGTTCCTCGGTAGCGTTTGCAGAAACAAAATTTATAGATTAGATGTTTAAAGAAAGAGATCGGAGTTCTCTGGGACCGGATCAGAACCTTCCACTCAGCCCATTAACATGCTGCAGAGATTCACCAAACTGACTGATTCTTTTAAACAGAATTAGTTCAAAGCGGAGCCGGGATTAGACTCGATTTCTGCTGCGACCCGGAGGAGAACACATCCATCTTCGTTCCCGCTGAAGCTCGTATTAAAGCGGACCTGACAGCAGAGGAGAGCAGACCTCAGCACCACTGGGTGTCGGCGTCAGGAGCCATCACAGCAAACCGTTCACTCAGAGAACTCGGTCAGAGCCGACAATTCAACCAATTTTCCTTTTTCTCAGGACAGAAAACGTGAATGAAGGCAGACGGAGATGAATCGGTGGCACAAAGGACGAAACGTTCAGGCTCACCTGGAGGCGTCGAAGCTGTCGTACGAGCCCACGGTGTAATGTCTGAAGAGTTTCCGTCTGTCGGCCCGGTCCGCTCGGGAATCTGAGAAAGAGCCCAGCAGAACCACATCAGAACCACAGTCCACTTCCTGTCTGCTTACAGGAAACATCTGGAAACGCCTGCAGTAAGCAGGAAGTAGCAACACGCTAGCAGGTTTTACGCCGATGAGCAAAGAGTTGGTCTAGAACTACAGAACCAAAACCAAAAGACGGTTTCAGAACTGGACCGGGTCTGGAGACACGACTGAGACTCCAGTCTGTCCCCTCAGGGACAAACGGACGGATGCTTTCAGAACAGGTTCATAGAATAAGGAAGAAGATCCATCCAACGCATCCATCCATCCATCCAATGCAACCATCCATCCATCCATCCATCCATCCATCCAACCCAACCATGCATCCATCCATCATCTATACATCCATCCATCCAACACATCCATCCAACGCAACCATCCATCCAACCCAACCATCCATCCATCCATCCATCCATCCATCCATCCATCCATCCATCCATCCATCCATCGTCTGTGAAACAATTTTGCCACAAACTCATGTTGGTTACAGAAATATGAAAAGGTAAATCTAGTTTCATAAACTCTTTCTGGTCAAAGATGGAATAGAAATCCAGATGTTCTGCAGCAACACGCTGGTGGTTTCAGGTTCTCGTGGTGCTGGCGGAGAATCAGGTCCGTGGTGAAACATGGTGCCGTTGGATCCAGACGTGTTCGCTCCGTGTGTGTGGTATGGCGGCCAGCTTGACCTCTTGACCCCATCACGGATCCTGACCTGTGGATGTAAACCCAGAGCTGAAGGTTGTCTGAGGGTTGGAGCTGACCCGGTTGGTGCATCAGGCCAGAGGAAGAGGAAGCAGCAGACTGACATGGAGGCAGCTGGTCCTCAGTGGTGCCCCCTTCAGGCAGCAGGTGGAACATGAAGATGCTGTTTTTTTCTCCATCTGGTTTTCTGTTAAAACAAACTTAACACTTTGACGTCATGATGTTTGTGTAAACAACGTCGTCAGTCGGATTCTCGTTGGTTTGTCAGATTAATCTTCATCTCCTCCCCTCATCTTCCTCCCTCTTCTGTCACACCAGCTGTCACTAGTTCACAGAGACGGCGCCTGAGGTCATCGCTGCAGGAAGGCCTTCCTCCTCTCCCTGGTTCCGTTTCGGGTCCGATCGGGTCGGATCAGACAGGATTACCAGCTTTTCTCTTTCTCTGTTTTACCGAGAGGAAAGAAACGCTCGATGTTGGTGATGAGGAGCGCGGAGGGGACGTGTCGTCTCCGGCATCGCGGTGGTCCCTAGCAACGGTCAGCTGGTTTCTATGGTCACAGATCAATAGGGACGCAGCAGCCATGTGTCTCACCAGAACACAGAGTACTCACATTTGTGTGAAAACATGTGCGTCTGCTCCGTCTGTGGTTGTATCACCGTCCTGTCAGCTGTGTGTGTGTGTGTGTGTGTGTGTGCGCGTGCGTATGACTGATTCTGCTCTGGGTTCCTTCCAGGCCCATTTTAACCCCTGTTTTCCTGCCTATTTCAGTTTCATCGTGGCTTTGAGCTCCGGGGAAAGACGTGAGAATGAGAAGGGGAAATTAGAGCAGCGCGCACGTGTGTGTGTGTGTGTGTGTGTGTGCGCAGCGGGATGTGCTGCAGCTGCTGCCCATCTGTAATAGAATTACAGTAGCAGGTTTTGTTTTTTAGTTCCATGGATGTGGTGCTGAAATTTAGGTTTAAAAAGCAATCAAGCTAACGTCGGGTGCCGGTCGCCATCTTTGTAGCTTAGATTGTTTCATATGCAGATGTTTCAGATGTTTGATGGTGCGTCAGTTCTGGTTGCAGCTGCAGCAGCTCCAAGAAGGAACCAGACGATCCGCCTCCTTCGGGATGAGGTGAGAACATGACGCCAAAATGGACGCCAACCTCAGCGTAACGTAGATCAGAAACGCTGAAGGCCAAAAACTCTGGTTTGGCCTTACGCTGGTTTGTGCAGGTGAATGGAGAACAAAACGAGGCTGAAAAGGTTTCAGTTCCCAAACATCTTCATGTCAGAGTGGAGGCTCAGAGGGTCAGACGGCGTTCAGGAAGCTGTCACTACAGACAAAACCATGAAAACTCCAGGAAACAGAAACATTCTGCAGGAACGGACTTTGGACCGACTCACCGAGAAATATTTCATCTGACCTCTGGAACGAGACGTAAACTGGATCTGACTGGGGTCCATACATGTCAAATAAATAGTGTTTGCTGCAGAGAGAGGCTGGCTAAAATGATAAACCATCCAAAAGCCCAACATGAAAATAAACAAGTGAGAAAAAAGTTTAAAGCTTCCAGAAACGCCTCAAAAGCTCAGATCTGGAGCTGAAACGATTAATCAGATGAATCAATTATGGAAATAATCAACTAACTTAGTCGTTCATTAATTGTTAACTGAAGCACACAAACTCAAAAAAGGCAATATGGTGAATGAACAACACAGTCGGAGCCAAAACTGTACAAAAAATATACATTTTGCATTTGAGTTAAAATAATAAAAATCTGTTCATGTAAAATGGACCATCAGTTCAGTCCCACACTGAGTTTTCTCATGTTGATGTTAGAAACATTTCTAGCTAAAATGTTTTTTTTTTTAAGGTTTTGTTTGTGCAAACCTTCCTCAGAAACCTCACATGATGCAGTTTAAACCAGGGATGATGGATGTTGATATTCCTGCCAAAATGATGAAACATTGACTGGAAGAACACAAACTTTTCCCAGAGTCGGGTCTGAACTGGGATCGTTGTTCGTTTCTGCTGCGAAGCCAGTGGATTTGTTCTTGCTTTAGGTTTTAGAAAAGATCATCTCAGATTTCCAAAACAGTTCATCTGTTACAAACAATTCAGCAGAGTTCAGTTCAGTCCAAACTGGAGAAATATTCTCTCTTTCCTTTGGAGTCCAGTCCGCAGGTCCAGTCCTCTCCTCCAGAGAGGAAACGTTTCCTCCGGATGCCAGACTGCCTCCGGTGGCTGCCGCTCTGAAATAATCTAATAGATTAAACTGATGAACGTAAATCTGCTGTTTCTGATCCAGGTTGATCGATAACCTGATGTTAAACTGAGTTCTTCTTCTTCTGCGTGTTTCCAGACCTCTGAATCGAGCCGAGGTCCAACCGCAGCGTGTGTAAGCGGGCCTTAATCCGCCTGCATCACTTCTATTCAATTAGACGGATTAGAGGCTAAACGCCTTTAACTTAAATCAGCGTGTGTGAATTTCTGTGAGAGAGGGCGGGAGGAAAAGACGGAGGTAAAAATAAAAACTGCAGAAACATTAAGCATATTAAACTGGAAACATCATGGATTTAGACGGAGCTGCCGTTTCCATCAGCGCAGCTCTCACTATCACGCCAACTCTTCCCTACAGACGGAGCACAAAGGGACTTCGTTTCTCCAGTCCTGATGAATAAATGATGATGTAGGCATTGAATAATTACGCGACTCACAGGCAGCTTAAATGTTTAAATATTTCTTCTGCAATCAGCTTGTTTCCCTGGATTATCTGAAGCTAGCGTAGCGAGTGAAGCCGCCATTAACCGGTCAGATTGGTATGTTTCTCCCTTCGCTCTGTGACTCTGCGGGTCCAGAGTCGGATCGGGTCGGGTCGCTGTTGGAGGTTGTCCGGGTCGGTCCGCTGCTGGGAGATCCTGCTGCCTGTGCAGATTTATAGCAACACTCAAATCCCAGAGGAAAAACGTTCCAAAACGGGAAAGAGCTGGAAGAACGAAGACAGACGAGGTTTGTTCTCAGGATCGGATCTGAAGGAAGTCAGAACGATCTGACCGCCTCAGGCCTTCTCTGGTTCATCCACAGGCTGCCGCCATGTTGGCTCTGATGTCCTGAAAACCAAACCGTTTGAAAACGACAAACCGTCGGATCTTTGTTTTCCTGAAAAACCCAACGATGAGCAGATTTTACGAAGAACGTCCTGGTTTTACTGTGCACACCAACCAACCTACCAGAGGGGAATCCGTCCCACAGCATCACACGTCCTCCACTGTACCTGACAGTGGACATCAGGTGTTCTTCACATGAAAACCACTTGGAATGTTTGTTGCAGCAACTTGTTGCCTCAGACAACCAAACCTTGTTCTTACTGTATGTATAATAAGATTTTATTTTTCTATTATATGGCTTGACATAAAGCAACAAAGGAAGAAATCCTGTTGTTCCAGTTTATGTTTGTGATGGTAGGACACAAGGTTTTATTGTGCTGTATAATGGTTGCTATGGAGCATGTTCTCTTGTGTTTCCCATGTTGAAGAGAAGCCGTGGATTTTTATTATTAGATTATTATGCTGCAGTAAAAGATGAATTTATCTGAATTTATAGAAAATCACAATCATCCATCTATATTATCCTCGATCAACTGCTTTACTGCTGCATGTGGCAGCACAGCACACACACACACACACACACACACACACACACAGTTGACCCGTGGTTTCGACTGAAGCCGCCTCTGAATGGCTCTCTGCAGGACGCCATACTGTGCTCCCATTTCTGACAGGCTTTTCTTTGCAGGCAGACCCGGGGGCAGCTTGGACGCGGCGCCGCATGAGGGAGGCTTTCCCGCGCCAACGGCCTTGGGTTAAACTTTAAAGTGAGCCACACAGACGAAGGCAAACAGCCAGAGAACAAGAGCCGCCCCGGAACATGGCTGGCGCTCCCCGGGGGAAGAGTTAGACCAGAGAGCTGATGGATGTCCGCCTTGTGCTAATCTCAATAATTAAACAAAGCAGGAAAACAGATGAAAAACAGGCAGAGAGACAGAAGACGTCTCAAACGTCTCCTGTAGATTTACAGCACAAAGCGGACGTAAGGACGGGGGAACGTTTAGGGGGACGGAGCGTGAAGTGATATGTTCATTAGCTAGCACCCATAGGAAATAAGAGCACAGCTGAGTTAGCAGGGCAATGTAGCGCTAAGCTCGGCACACGGCAGCCTGGGGGACACGGGAAGACAGAGGAGGACACACATGCAGCTGAAACACGGGCCACGTGCCGTCACACACCAAAACGCTTTTATGGGATCTAATTAAGTCTTAAGATGATTGATTAGCAAGTTAACGTTCACAAATGAGTTCTGAGTGTTTAACTCCAGCTCGGGCGTAAATCTCTCTGAGAGACAGAAGTTGGTGCAAAAAATTTTAAAGGAACGTTCCAGAAAAACACCAAAGTGGAGATTAGTCAGGAAACGACCTGATGTGGAGCAGGGAGAATGTTCTGCTGGGAAACGCTGGGCCACTTTTTCATTTCCTGAAGGTTGTGGCCTCAGCTAGCAGCTAGCAGCATGAAGCTCCCTGTCACACACCGATCACACTCCGAGTAGAAAAACAAACAGCTTGAGGATTTTTATTTGGCCTCTAAATCCTCCACATCGCCAGGAAATCGAGTTTCGGGAATGGGTCCAACTCTTGGCGCCCCCCCCCCCTCACACTTCCAGGGTTAGCATCTGCTGCTAACATCTTGGTGCCTTCAGGCGTCTGGTGGGGTCCATGCATCAGCGGGTCAGGAGTTACCGCTTTCATTCCCACTCATGAAAACGTTCAGCTCATTTATGAACAGAAATTTACAGAGAAAAATCTGAATGATGGTTCTGAAGTGGAACCAACACAGCCGATGCTACTCACAGGTCCTTTCCTCGGTGGCCTTGGCCGGGACTTCCTCCACGCAGTCGGCCGGAAACCAGCCCACCTGGCCGCGGGCGCTGCCCTCCCAGAATCCCCCCTCTCCGATGCTCAGAACTGGGAGGAAAAAAGAAACTTAAAAATTAAAAACTTCATTCAAACAGTAAAGTTCAAAATATGAAGTTTCAGCAAGGAGGTTAAAGTTAAGTCGAGTCTATTTCCCCTTTTTTCACAGTATCATCACATATTGTCAAATGCCACCATCAAAATCTTCAGGTTTGATGGTCAATGTTCCAGTTACTGTTAATGAAAAGCAACTTGAACCAGGTGGGATGTGACCTGTGTTTACAGGAGCTCAGTTTCAGCTGTTTTTATGGAAGTTTGTTCCAGATTCATGGTAAATAGAAGCTGAATGCTTCTTCTCCATATGCGGTTCTGGTTCTGGGGATGCAGAGCAGAACCAGAACCAGAAGACCTGAGAGTTCTGGAAGGTTGATAAAGGTAATCAGATACATCAGCAGCAGTGGTCAGCACTGCTAACGTTAGCTGTGCTAACACCAAGCAGAAGCCAATGCTAAAGTGCTGAATTCAGCACTTTAGCATTGTGCTATTGTGCTATCGACACATGATGCGACCCATCATGTATCGATAGTACAACATGCTGTAACATACAATATCACCATCAGCATGGCTGATTTTACTGTTTCACTGCGAGCAAGACATGTAACAACAGCATTAGTATTACTGCTAGGAAGCCTGACAGGATACATTAGCATGGATTAACTAGCCATCACTTAGCTAACATTAGCTAACATTATCTGCGTGGACCAGCGTCACTCAACAGATTGGAGGAAAATGACAGTTTTTTGCCTTTTGTTGCTCTTTATGAATATGATTCTGACACAGCATGCTGCTCTGCAGCACATCAGCGTTCAATCATGGAGTGTTTAAAGACGGCTCGGAAAAAACATTACCACATGCCAACAACGGTTTAAACAAGGCTGAGAAAAGCGCGGTGGACATGTAGTTACACCCGTTTATGTCTGTGTGTCAGTTTTATGACGAATAATTATTTCATTATGGAAAAACCAACAGGTCAAATAAATCATTAAATAACCAAAATTAAAATAATTTTCTAATTTTATTTAACTTCATGCCACAGCAGACATGAATAATGAACAGCCTCTGTTTTCCTGACATTAACTTCATTACTCTGATTCTTCACCGTCTAACAGAAACATGAGACTCAGTCACGACGCTGAGTCTTTAAAGGTCAAAGGTTAATCTGGCAGAAAGAGTTTAAATAAAGCTGAAAGACGTCCATCTTTTTTAAATCTTAATGCATGGATGGAAATCTTCATCCTTTGGCTTAGCAGAACCAGGTCTTAGTGGAGCCTCTTCCAGATAAGATTCATCTCTCATACTGTGAATCTCTGCATGCTCGTCTCTGCAAAGTCCTCAGACTTTCCTGTAACTGGCATTAAATAACAAACGTACCCTCATATCTTTTGTCTCTACACATATTTTTGTTCCTTATTTTTCCTGTTTTTAAGGATTAGCTCCGTCTTCAGTCAGCTTCTCTCTGCAACCTTCAGAAGAATGAAGTCACATCTTTATCCTGCATCCAAAACTATCAAATGTGTCTCAAGTTTAGAAGCTGTGAGAACTAAATTTAAAAGTCCTTTATAATTCCAGACGGATATTTATTTCTAAACTCATATTGTTCTTTTCCAACAGCGTCTTTTTCTGATCTCATTAAGTCTCCAAGATTTCTGAAATTGTGTTTTCCTGCTTATCCTGTCTGAAGTTTCCTCAGCCATGCTGAAGATCGTAAGTCTGGTTCTTACAATTTACTTTGCTTTTCTACACCCCGTAATATTTCACATTTCCTTAAAACAAAGACATCTAGAAATCTCTGATCCAGAAAACACAATTCAAAGCAAAAGGAAAATCTTAAAATCTGTGTTTTTCTGGATGCAACTTTGGAATATTAGCTTAGATTTTCATACATTTTCAGGGCTGGGTAAAGTCTATCTCCCAGAAGCTGACTGACCTTTGACCCTGTCGCCTTTGTAGAGGTTGATTTCTCCCTCAGCCTGGGCGGAGTAAGAGCGAACCACCACGAAGTGTCTGCCTGGAACGGCGCTGTACAGCTTCCTCCTGGGGCCGGGCGCCTCGCCGTGACCGCTGGGGCTGAGAGAGGAGGCACAAACAGGTCAGGACAGGGGTCAAAAGGTCAGGACGGGGGTCAAAAGGTCAGGACGGGGGTCAAAAGGTCGGGACTAAAAGGCACGGGCCAAAACCGTCAAACACCAGTTTTCCACTGGAAAAAAAATACTGTAATTATTGTCTAAAAATTTAGTTTGAAAATGTGTGAGCCTTATTAAATTTATCTAGATGCATCTAATAAACACTTAGCAAGATGTTTATTTCTTTTATTTTTTGACAGGAGTTCGAGGTGATTGAGGTTTAAAAGTAACTCTTTGTCTGATGTTGACTTGTTTATGTATGTTTTGCATGTTTGTTCATTTATATGAAATCATAAATAAACCTAAATAGGGTTTAAAAGAAATGATCTTTAAAGGAGAAACACTGAGAGCCAAAATGTGTGCAGACCCTGTGAAGATAAAAAACCAGAATCTCTGAGTCAGTTTTTATTTGCTTGGTTTTGTCATCTCACAGAATCAGAACCGGTTCTGACCCACAGAGCTGCTGTGGGTCAGAACCGGGACAGCAACAGATCCAAGGATCGACGTTTACATTTAAAACGTTTTTAAAACACTTCTTCATTCATATACAGCAGGATACCATGGTGTCATAGCGCCACTTAGTGGTTAGTATTCATAACAACACCGAAGCAAAACATGGCCTCAGCTGAAGCTGTGTGTGACTCGGCCATATTCCAGTCAGAAAGGAGCAAATATTTTATTCTAAAAGCTGTTTCTGAGCTCAAAGCGTCTGAGTGATGCTGTAGGAGAGGAGAGGAGAGGAGAGGAGAGGAGAGGAGAGGAGAGGAGGAGCAGGAAGGAAAACTAGCAGAATAAAAGAGGAAGCTGGAGAGCGGGAGGGAGGGACTGTTTGCAGTAAGTGGGTCACCTTGTCCTGCAGACTCCACTCCTCCTCAAATGTTTGCGGGCCTTTGGAGAGCTAACCCCATTCAGAACCTACTGAGACTGCTCACACATTTTCCCAGGGAAAGCCACGGACAAAGCTGCAGCCGCACTCCGAGCGGCTGGAAATAGCGCCTACCACCGAGAGGCCAGCTCTGCACTGAGCACAGGAAGTGACACGGAGCTGTGAGGAGTGTTGGGCTTGAAGGCCAAAACAACACGCTGCTGCAGATCTCCGCTCTGCTTATGATTTCAGATAAAAGGTTCAACACACAAGGAGAAACACGGCGAGCAAAGTCAGAACAGTAAACGGTCCAGTTTACTGAACCAGTTTGGGTTCCACAGGCAGGTCTGCATTACCAGAATAAGATATTAGCAGAATAAAGGGATTTTCATAAGAAAACAGCCTTGATGGAGTTATAAAGATCTGACATGACCAATTCATCTATCACGTAGATTTTTATTCTCATATTAGTATACTTTATTTTTGTATTATTATGACATTCTCGTGTAACTACAACTTTTTTGTTATTAGCACTTTATTCTGGTAAGTTGATTATTCTCATATTATTATTACTTTATGGCAATAATACTACTATTTTTGTATTTTTTTTTTTTTTTTTTTTTTATTACTTTTTTTTTTTTTTTTATTTTTTTACACCTATATTGTTGTATTATTACAATTTCATTCTCATGATTTTTAATGTTCTATTCTGATTATATGACTTTTGTTTTATTCTCGTAAATTAAAACTAAATCCCAGCCTGGCACTAATACAGCGTCTGGCAGGTCAGTGATGGGAAGATAAATTATTTTATTTGCCAACAGCTGACATGTCTACAACGGCCACCAGAGGGCAGAAGAGCAGCGGACGCTTCAGACATGATCACCGGTAAAATTAGAGGTTTGGAGGAGACAGAGAGTCAGAGCACCGGGTCAGTCAGGGAGGTGCAGGTGTTTCCTCAGGGTGGATCCAGTGAGACCATGATGGGACACCTACACTCATGACGCCACCTGCTGCGGCTGACAGGTGCTAACTGCTAACAGAACTGCTAACTGAACCGCTAACTGAACTGCTAACAGAACCGCTAACTGAACTGCTAAGAGAACCGCTAACTGAACTGCTAACAGAACTGTTAACTGCTAACTGAACTGCTAACAGAACCGCTAACTGATGACTGCTAAGTTCTGGATTTCAGCATCACCAAAACAGTTTTATATTTTTAAACTCAGCTGACTTCACAATGTTTAATGAACTGAACTAAAACGACAGAGATGGATTAAAAAAACCTTAAAACACAGAAATGTTCATACTGCCTTATTCTTTTACCATCTTTATTCAGATCCTCCTCCATGCAGCAGAACCACATCCCCACTCTGATCAGCTCTGCCCTCAGATCCGGTCCATGAGAACCAGAACAGGATCAGAAACCCAAAGTGCAGCAGGAGCGAGCCGAGCTGATCACAGACTTTCACCATAATCCTCCACACAACGCCTCCCAGAACTTTAATCTTCACAAGATCCACAAAACAATCTTTAGTAATTCCCCATCAACCAACCAGCAGCTACTGAAGGTAAAAAATGCACCGAAAATAGTTTTCCTGAATGTTTCCGAAACAAAACTCAACACAATAAAGTTTCTGGATTTTCTGACATATGTCTGTGTCCTGATAAAACTCTTAATTTTACCAAAGATTCAGTTTCAGATTAAGCTAAATTACACAGAATTAGTTTTTTCATCAAACATTACACCAACCCCCTCCTGCTGGTGTAGAGATTATGTAATCCTCATGTTTCTGCTGTAATCCCATAATATGACCCACACATGACCTGTAGTAATCTGGCATTGGGCAGCGTATTGTTATGTCAACAGTTATATTAAAGATGATGAACAGACTTGAGCAGCAGCTGCAGCCTGGTCTTTACTGTCAGTCTGCATCTCGGCTGCTGCGCTCAACAAAAACCAGCAAATATTCTGGACCTGCAGCTCCGTTTTCAGTTAGTTCAACCAAAAAACAAAAAGAAAATCTGTAAAAATCCTGATGCTAACAGCCGAACACGGTGGAGGAGGGCTGGTGATGTGGGCTTGTTTTATTTATCAGAAAACCTGTATGACTGAGTCTGAGTCTGTCCAACAACATGATCCACACACAGCAGCTCTACGGCTGAAAAAGAAAAGAATCATGGCCTAGTCAAAGTAAGCACCTCGACCTGATGCTGACATGCGGAGTTTTGATGAACAACTGGACTTTTTCAGCAAATTTCTGATTTATCTGATGAGCTGTCACACTCGTTTAAAGGACTAAATGAATCTAAAGCGTTTCGATTTTAACCAGTTGAAACAAATAGTTAAAATATCTGATTATCGCGTTTAATCCTCTTTGCCTCAGCGGAAACATTTGGAAGATTTAAAATCCTCATAATTAGACAGAAGTGTAAAAGACACTATTTCCTCCTCACAGCGGTGTGAATACGTTCAGGCAGCAGGCGATTATTTCTCCCTAGTTTAGATTAACTCCAGTTAATCCAGACTAACATTGGCTCCAAAGAGACGAACTGAACTGAGCTGGTGGTTCTGAATGCAGTGAAAACACAAATCATTAGAAATGACTGTCTCTCCTTTATTCGGAAGTTCTCCTGATGATGCTTTTAATCTTATGAATCTTCCATAAAAGTCAGATTTGTGGGTTTGTGACATTTTCTGTCAACACCTGAGCTGTGGATCTCTGCAGCTCCTCCAGAGTTTCCCCTGGCTGCTTCTCTGTCTAACCAACAAACCTTCAGGGAACATCTGGGCAAACCGAACACAGCTGGACTCTGACGGGTCCCTCTGCATCATTTCTTCCTGTAAAGTTTAACCGTCTCCTGTTTCTGTCCTGAAGTCAGATTTTTAATCTGAGATTATAATTTCCAGGCTCTGCGTCGTTGCTGATTGTGTTTTCCGTGTTCTGAGCGAACGTGTCGTCTGCATATTGCTTTATGACCCAATCAAATCAAATCAGGCGAATTTCATAATCGCATCAAAGTCGCAGAGGAAATCTGCTCCGTGCTGTAATTGGGTTTGCTCTGCAATAGAGCTGCAGACTTTCTTCACACCGTGATTTCTTAATGAAGTTCTGCGCAGCAGAAGCAGCGAGGCGACGCGGCGCAGAGCGCGGCCGTCTCTGGTGAAATCACAGAATATTAACAGCGAGATCTTTATGAGTCACATCGAGCAGAAACAGCCAAACCTCCGGCCCGTCCTGACACGGAGGACACGTCTCATTTCTCACCACGGCGAGCTGGGAGGCGGTTGCCATGGCGCCCAGAGGGGTTACTGACAGCTGTCAGCGATGGGTGGATGGAGCGGGGAGCAGAGAGAAAGCGGGGCTGCGGGCTCACATGAGGCCGTGTGACATGTTGAGTGGGAGCGGAGGGAACGCCGCAGAGAGGCTGTCATGTGTGGGCGGCGGCCGGGCGAGGCGGGGGGCAAAAACAAAGACAGGAAGAAAAACAGAAGGGAATTATGGGGGTTTCTGACAGAGCTCGACACGACAAGATCTCAGCGTTAAACTGCTTTTATTCCCAGACTGATCAGAATTTAACAGATTTTACACAAAGCCAAGTAAATCCAACCTCAGGTGACGATTCGGCACAAACTTCACCAGAGTGAAAACCCACTTAATGCTGAGCATTGATCTAACTTTTTAGCTAGCAGACTGTCCATGACCAGCCAACTGGAAATAAACATCGGTTGTTAATATTGGTCCAGTTTTAGTGGTTTTGATACGATATGTTAACAATGCCAACATCGTCTGATAACGATGTTACTGCGATTTATCACGCAAACCCAGTTTTTCTTCTTTCCGCAGCTTTCTGCTTCATATGAAACTATCCAGTTAAAAGGTTGGTGTAAATAATGAGCCTAAATGTTTAATGCAGCAGAGCATCGTCCAATGTGCTTTTAGTGTTTTGGCTCAGGAGGACAGAAAATGTGAAGGATTTTCTTGTTTTTTATTCCAATAGGAGAGAAATGAGATGCTGTAAGGTGGCGAACACTGTCACTAATTGCCTCGTTTCTGTAAGTGGGCCAGCAAAAGCTG